TTAATAACTACCGAGATTCAACCAGACAACAAGAGGTGTAAGTTTCTGTACCATGCTATACCAGGGGTATATCTACAGCTGCCTACCTTGGTACATATCCTTTCTTCTCTGTACCATGCTATACCAGGGGTATAGCCACAGCTGCCTACATTCCCAAATATCCTAACGTTTCTGTACCATGCTATACCAGGGGTATATCCACAGCTGCCTACATTCCCACATATCCTTTCTTCTCTGTACCATGATATACCAGGGATGTACCCAAAGCTGCCTACCTTGGTACAGATCCTAACTTTTCTGTACCATGCTATACCGGAGATGTAGCAGGAGCTGCCAACCTTCCCACTTATCCTTTCTTCTCCGTGTCACATTTTACGCTTTTGCATATGTTTTTTTCTCAGCTTCACTTTTTAACGGAGACGTTCACAACTACCGCATATGTTTCATTGTTCACACCATATGGGAATAAACATAGCTAATGATCCACCGATCGGCCATAAACTTATGGCATTTTAGTCATTAAAGAAAGAGTTTAGTAGACAGAAGTTAGACAACAACAGTGCTGTTTTTAAATTTACTTAAGAATTACAGTTTTGCATAAGATTTACATTTGAGTCAATTATTTAGAATGCAGAATTTTCCGCTTTTTTGAATGAACTATTAAATTTGATATATCTGGTAATCTAAAACTGTCTTTTAACAGTCCTAACTGAAAGCTAACAAATATCCAAACCTTAGTGTTCAACCCTAACCTTGCGAGAGGGTAAACTCTGGTCTTGAGAAACTGACGAACATCGAGTTAGACGTCATGTTAACGACCACATTCTTCTTAGCCATTCCATTATGGGTTTAATATCACAGATACGTATATATATATATAACTCGGAGGTATATTTTGTTTACAACTAATATATTCAGTTATTTTGATTTGTCATTGCAACTTTAAAATGTTAACATTCGTCAGGTGGAATAAAAATCAATGATTTTTGTAATGCTCTAGAAACCATAGATTTACAGTAAGAATAATTTGATTATTGTTTCTAAAATCAGTATAGGTATCTAAATTCAAATAGTTAGCATTCACTACATAAGATTAATCTTGTCTTACTAAACCCCTATTCCCTTGCCACATTATCCACGAATACATTAAAACTGCTCTTACCCTGCTAAAATCTCTGTAGTTATAAAATATATATATTTTTCATAAGTCCCTAATAATACAGATATTTTTTGTTGTTAAAATCGGAGAATTCTGATTTGTGGCGTCTAAAAGTCAACTTACATTAACTGAATTAAAGTAGAACCAGGCCAAACAGTATTCAGCTTAGTTGTTAGGTTCGTTTCCTAGAGAGCTAGTGGTTTGAACTTGAAGTAAAAGGAACTTTCATTGCGAGAATCAGGCCTAGCACTTACCGTAAAACAACAAATGAAGTTTAGCATTTTGAGACATCAGGCCTAGCACGAAATACAAAAAAGCAACGACTTGTAATACATAGACCATTCATCCACTGGTTACAGCACCACCAAATCGACGTCTGGTGATCACAGTGGGTCATGACAGTTTGTGGCAAACACATCATAAAGATGGCGATATGTAATATATTCTGTGTGTAGGGTGAAATACAAAATAGTATTTGGTAAAATACTGTAGAGTTACTATTTATTAGTTATATGTCTGACACACTTCAGATAATTAACACTCCCGCATTAATATATAGCTATAAATTTTACAAACAGTTTTGAAAAGGTAATGTAATAATACTTCTTACAGTAAACCAGCATCGGCTTTTAGCGACATCTTTCGGTTGTACTACTAGCCCTGAATAAACCGCAATGGTGAAACGTTAGCTGATATAAAAAGTTTTATTATCTGATGAGTATAAAGATTTCTTTTTTTCTATCTTTATTACCAAAATACGCGCAAAACAATAACTGACAACAGACTAGCCTTACAATAGAATTATAACGTTACTTATAATTTCAAAACTCCCTGTGTGAGTTTCTCTACTGCAAGTTCTTGATAAGGGTGTACAGTCGAAACGTTTGGAGACAAAAGTTTATTTCATCTGAAGTAAACAATTGTCCATTTACAGAAGCATGTCAGAAACACTTCAGTTTGTACTTCAACACGTATGAACTGGAAAGACGCTATTTTAAGCTTTTTGAAATTCCTTAGTTTTGAATTACATACAGACCCGCAAGCCAATATAATATCACTTTTCATAGGTACTTGGAG